CAGGTGCCTAAAAGGAATGAAAATCTGTGTGGAAAATTACTTTTGCCATTTGAAGGACCTTATGTCATTAGTACTGAACATGGGGTAAACAGTTATGAACTAAGACATCCAGAAACTAATAAAATTAGAGGGATATTTAATATAGAGGGAATTTATAAGTATTATGAATAAACATACAAGGGTAGGCAATATTATGACACGAATTTTATATTATTAGATATAAGTTTTGTAAATAGAAGGATAATTAATACATAAGCATATCTTGAGATAAATTTGATAATAACATGACTCAAATAATTTATTGGGAACAGATGTACAGAATAATGATGAATTTATATAAAAAAAAAAAGAGGTTGATTTATTTTCAAGTAAATTTATAGGAGTTACAAGTATAAATAAATGAGCAAAGTACTATGGACAAATCGATATTTTGTAGAAATTGGGAAATAGGGAATATTATAATGATAAATAGTATATGTGAAAATATGTGGGAAATAAGATGAAAAATAGAATTATAGGAAATATTGAAATATGAAATATAGAGAGTTATATGTAGAGATGATGAAATGGATATTATATGCGGATACAAAAAGAATAAATAATAATGCGGCAATGAATAAAGATACTGAAATAGTATATGCGGAAATAAATGAATAAAGATATAAAATAAAGAGGGGAACAATTATAAGAATTTCTACGAAATTAGTACGAGAAATAAATAGTACAGGAAAAGAAGTAATGAAATTGGGAAAGTACTTGGAAATTTGATTCTGAAGTTGATATAATTAGTGAAAGATTTGTAGATTTTGTTTGGAGAAGTCTGTATTTTTCATAGAGTAAATTATTAAAAAAAAAAATATTCAAGAGATATGCTTATTAATAAAAGTCAGTTTATTGTTATGTTAATATTAATAAAATGTTTAAGTTTATCGGTAAGAATTTAGATTTAGTAAGTGCTGATAGTTAGCACTGAACAAAATCCAAATTGGGGGGAAGTTGAAATGATTTCAATAGGTCAAAGAGGATATAACTTAAAGGGATTTTTATATGAGTTTGTTGTTCATGAATTTCATGAAGCCATCACAATGTGGGGTCGACTCTGAAATAAAAGGGAGAAAAGATTAGTAAATTGCTAAATAAATTAATTTTGACTTACCTGGTATAGTGTTAATAATTTCTGAATAGTATAGTTGCCTAGTGTATAGGTGAATCGTCTAAACCTTAAAAGGAATAAAAAAAGAAGAATTCTTAAAAAATTATTTAAACATAGAAATTTTAAAAATAAACGTCAGAAAAATAAACTGTCAAAAGTCTGTGGGAACTAAATTAATAGGGGTTTTGTTAAATAAATTACAATGATGTGGAGATGAAAAGAATAAATTATATTAGTATTGTTAAGTTTTATATCTGAATTTTTTTTTTAAATTCCCAAATTAGATGTGATTAAAGTGCTTATGAGAAATTAATGTGGTTTGACAAATATGTCAAAACAGGACAGTTTTATGGTTGAATAAAATAGAAGACGGAATGAAAAAAGAAAGTGGGTGGCTGTTAGCAACGAATAATTTTGGTGGTTGGTGCTAGCTATGGCGGTTAACAAGGAAGAATAGGTTGTTGGAGGCGACGAAAATTTTGGAGGAAGAGCCCTAAAAAGGTGGAATAGTCCGGGAGTGCTTTAAAATCGTTTAATTATAATTTAGTTTTTCCACATTTTCAAATAGAGATATCCAGAATTTGTTCCAGAGAGTAAGAGAAATTTTGACTTATAAATTATAATTGGAGTGCAGAAATGTCATTTAGATTGAAAAAGTAAAAATTCATGAATTAACTAATTGCGATAGGCCTTAAAAATTGAAATATTAATGATCATTAAAATAAAAATATAATAGTACGTACCTTTAACTTCCGAAGAGAGGATAGATATTCCAGTATCACCGATTATTTTGCGAGTAGTTAGTTTTCTTTAAAAAAAAAAAATCAGAACTGTTTGAAAGTGAGTTTGGATAATAATTTTGGGGATCATTTGAAATTTTGATTATATTTTAATGCTAGTTATAAGTCAGCGGCATAAAGTGTTCAGTTTTCTTTTCTTTATATTTCATTTAAACACTTTATAAAGTTGCAATAGTCATTTAGATTTAAGGTAATTGTAGAGAGTTTCCACATTTTGTAATCAAATTCTATTTTCACGACACATTAAGGTTTACACGATTCCTATTTTTGTAAATTTTTAAAGGCAACCCAAGTTGCAGACGAATTTTATTGTTTATATTAAATTTGTTCAATATTAATAAATAACGTGCTTCATTTGGGTTAATTTATCAAAAATATAAAGTAAATTTTGGTTTAATTTCTTTTTGAACTCTACCAGGAGACTACAGAGTTGACGTCACACAGTGACAGATTGCTTAGAACAAATAATTGAGCTAGCCGAGGTATAGTATATTAACAACGAACTACATACTTTTAAAATTCACTTCAATTCAATTAAAATTATATTTATTAACAATAAAACATAAAAATAATAAAAACAAAACTATTACAATATATATATATATATATATATACAAGGTACTGCCAGGACCAAGTACACTGCCCAGAGTAACTCCGTCTGGACCGGGCGGACACTAGAATCTTCTTCATTCAAAACTACACAGAAGTCTTGATTTTATAGGTAGGATTGAGGGGTCCTCTGTCTGTACACATCTAAAATACAGATAGGTTTAGGTCAATCAATAGGCAATAGTAGAAGCAACTCTAGAACTAACTCGTATATGGTACGATTTAGCGATAACAAAATTTAATATCTCTAGAAACGTGCATAGAATATTATGGAAAAATGCCGACAGAAGATCAAGCAGAATTCCAAGATATTGGCTACGAAAAACATGTTATTATATCCTACTGCGAAGAAACTGAAATAACTCTAGAAGTAATTAAAAAACACGCTAACATTATGAAAAATGGGACAGCTCCAGAACCGGAGATTAATAGAACTGATTAAATATGGCCCTGTTTAGCTATTCGCTTATATATTTAATTAATTCTTGAGAGGCGAAGAGCTACACCTAGAATAGAAAACTGCCTAAGTAAATCAGCAATCATTACAAGAATAAAGGAGATAGAAAGCTGAAATTTTAAAGCTGGCTAAAGGCTTAGCGGAACTAACTTAATCTGTAGGGTACACGGGAATATAATTAAAAGCCCAATTGAAGATTGTTGGTAATTAAAAACCGAAATGAAGATTGTTGTGCAGACGCTAAAGACCAGAGTGGCTTTTGTACTGGTCGTTCTTATATTACAATATGTTTTGTCTAAAACAAACAACAGAAAAACGCTTGAAAAACAATATCGAGACATACATGCTATTATTAACTTTCAAAAGGCGTATGATAGTGTCACATTGTCCAAGCTGTGGCAGGGGCTAGAAAATAGAAAATCCCACCGATTTATATCAATACTGTGAGGTAGTTATACGACGATATGGCGAGTTCAATCTTCTTAAGTGCCATCTCCACGACGAAGGTTGGCAATCATCATGGCTATTCTGACCTTCGAGGCAGCTGCTCTGAACAATTGCCTTGAGCTGCAACCAAACCACTCTCTCAGGTTTTTCAACCAGGAAACGTGTGACTACACTTCTCCTACCCTCTATTTTTCCTTGAATTATGAGTCTCAAGATGTTGACGCTTTCGCCTCTCATTACATGTCCGAAATATTGCAATTTCCTATCTTTTATTATATTTTCCATTTCCCTCTTTCTGCATATTCTCCTTAACACTTCTGCATTCGTGACTCTATCTACCCATGAAATCCTTAACAATCTTCTAAATGTCCACATTTCAAACGCGTTAAGTCGATTTATTGTATTCCGGTTTAATGTCCATGATTCAGCTCCATAGTAGAGTACACTGTGTACATAGCATTTAATTAGCATTATTCTGAGGGCCAATGTCAGATCTTTGCTGCATAAAATCTTTTTCATTTTCACGAAGTTTTTCAATTCTGACTCTTATCTCTGCAGTATAATCGTTATTTTCTGTGATTATCGTTCCCAAGTAAATATATCTTTTTACTCTCTCAATCTGCTTGCCGCCTACCGTTAATATTTCATTTGTATTGTTGCTCTTGCTAATTTTCATGAATTTGGTTTTTTTGATGTTAAGAGAGAGTCCGTATTCTCCACTATATCTTAATATTTTGTTCATTATTCTTTCTAACTCTTCCAAGTTGTCAGCTATTATGACTGTATCGTCGGCATACCTAATGTTGTTAATTAAACTTTCGTTCACTTTTATGCCGACTGTCTCGTTTACCAAAGCTTCTTGTATCATTTCTTCAGAATAAACATTAAACAATAACGGCGACAGTATGCAACCTTGCCTGACCCTTCTCCTTATCACCACTTCTTTTGACACTTCTCTTCCAATTTTCACATTTGATCGTTGGCTGTAGTGTAAATTTGATATTAATGTTACATCCCTCACATCCAGATTCTTGTTTTTGAGTACTTCTATAAGTCGGTCATGTTTTACTTTATCGAATGCCTTGTAGTCTATAAAGCATACATAAAGCTACATATTTTACATACGAGTTCAATAAAGATTGGATAATAGTGACAAAAAATTTAAAAGTGACCAAAGGACTTCGCAAAGGCTACGTTTTAATAATTAATAATTTCATTACGTGTACTCTATTTAAGATTTAAATGTTCGCGTTTGTCATTAATTAAAAAAGAGGAATTATTGGCCATGGTGTACACGCAGTTTCGCTAGCAGACCACGACAGATAAGGATGGAGACCCAAGATTCGTGCAATAGAGAAATTATCACTATACTCTGTCTGAAAGTCAACGGACAAAAGAAGATATGTTCATAATTCAAAAATGTCCAGTGTCAACACGGCATCAGTTCAAACTTTAATACCGTCTAAAAGAATACTCTATAATGTTGTATGTTGTTTATTTATAAATACAGTATAATATTTTATATACTTTTTAGCCTATCAGAACGTTCGTCGAAACTCAAACAGAAAAAGTCAACAAATTTTCATGGCGAAAAGAACTGATAAACGAAAACGATATATTTAATTCTTCTAAAAAAATATTATATGGTAGCTCTATGTGGCTTGTCAATAGAAGGGGCATACATAAATTTGGTAAGAATTATTTGAGATATCTATTTTTTTCATAATATTTAAACTATAATAAACGTATATATATATATATATATATATATATATATATATATATACAACACAGTTTATTAGGGTTGCAGTCAGAATATTGGCCGGGATGTTAAAAAAACACTCTTTTGACTTTTTGTCGAGCTTTCGGAATGGTTTTATTCCTTTTTCAAGACATAGTCGTTGAGATTATTTATATAAGCATTGACACTCAACATTTATAACACACATTAAAATATACAATTATAGACAAAATACATTATAAAATTTTTAAAATTTATTGTAAAAATAGTAAAACTTAGTTGATGGCATGTTTTATTGGTACACCACACCAAAAACAAAAATGCTAGTCATCTATCTATGTCTCTCTCTACGGAGTGTACAAAACTATGTTGTGTATGATGTGTAACATATATAATTGAACATGTTTTAATTTCAGGGGTACTCAACAGTTTTATTACCAACCGATGCATTATAAAGGAAGCAGTGTTTTATTTAAAAAACCTAGATACAAAATGTTCTCAGAACGAAATATATGAAGATAATCCGTACATAAATTTAAAATACTATTTTCAAAATGTCTATCTTATCGCCAATCCCATGCTAGTGAACTTAACGAAATGGAAACAAAAAGTGTTCGAGGTATTAAATTCATATTTGATTCAATTTATAAGTTTATTTCTTTGTTTGTTATTCTAATACAAAATGGCAATACTGATACTCGGAAGCAAAACAGTACATCTTAATGAATTTAGTGTACGTGTAACAAATTAAATCGTCTTGACTCGAATCTTTGTAACGACCTGTTAATAAAGTCAAAACCATATATGAAGACCGATAAATCATTAAGCAATTATCAGTGGATCTCAAACAGTGGCTTTAAAATTTAATTCCAATCACTTGAAAAGTAACCGATTTAATTTGCTATTTTTATGTTCACTATATTATGCTAAATACTAACTATTAATATTACTAAAGAAAGTAACTATTAAATAAATAAAATACTAAATAAACTTAAACTTAATTTAATCATTTTACAATACAGGAACTTAGTTTCCTCGTGGAATTTCATTTTTATTTATTAACATTTGCTATAAATGTTGCTGCTACAAAGATTTAACTCTCTTTGTGCCATGTGCTGCTCACTCTTTATGTCTCATGCAATAAAGGATTCGCATGAGTCGGGACAGACACTATTACCTAAAAAAGTGAATACAATCCGTTGATCTTTTCGTTTGGATACCGTAAAACCGTTAAAAAGCAATTACGGTTTGATTAAAATATGTTTGATGAAAATGTCAACAGACATAAATGAGAAAAATGTAAGAGTTTAAGCAGCTTCTTTATCGGAAAAACTTGATTTGTTGGAAAACGGAATAATTTTATCATTCTGGCTTGACGTTTTACAAAGAGTTAATGAGGTTAATGAAGCAGTACAAAAGGAAAATATGGATTTAAGCACAACCGCTCATCTGTAACACATTACTTTAATTTCTTACGTGATCGTTTTTATCACTACGAGGCCTTAGGAATGTTGTTAACAGTGAACGGAAATTATGCTGAGAAGAGGATTATCAAAAAAAAAATTGCAATTAGGAGAAAAGAATTCGGATGTAAATTTAAGCCAAAAAAAAATTGCGAACAGAATGTTACGTTTTTATAATCTTCAATCAATCTTAAATCTGATCTGATAGTTATAAATATTTTTCAAGATCATTTGAATATTTGGTTACACTAAAAACTAAGAAAAATATATTTTCAGATCGGCAACCGATTACAACAAAAATGCAAGAAGAATTTGGATGAGTATTTTCCCCAAGAATATGTTCATTTAAATAATTTGTTAATGTCTCTTCTCCAATTAAAAATAGACACTACTTTAGAATTGGTACAGGTTTTATACGAAAATAACTTAATATCTTCGTTTTAAAACGTTAATATTTGCCTGCATATTCTTTTCTCCATAATGGTCGCAAATGCCAGTGGCGAACGCTATCTTTTGACACTAAAAATGATAAACACCTACTGAAGAAATGCAATTTCCCAAGAAAATTTAAACTTCTTAGCAGTTTTATCTATTAACGAGAACCAGCTTTTCAATAGTAAAGGTATTTGATTACCTACCTCATGTTACCTGTATGAATGTTATTAGGTACATTTTTATTTTACTTTTTGAAGTTTGCCCTTAATTTTTTTCTTGCATTTTGTTAGTATTCATTTAAGTTTGAATCCCAAAAAAGTTGTAATTGTTTTCCTTATTTTAATAAACTTGTATTCAAAATATGTTTTGTTGAATTGAAATAAAGTTAAGAAATATTTTTGAGCCTGGGCGCGGATCCATATCAGCACCGGGCGGCTTCTTCTTCTTTGAGTGCCTCTCCTATCGGAGATTGGATATCATTATGGCGGTTCTAATTTTATTTACTGCTGTTTTGAATAATTCGTTAGTGGTACAGCCAAACCGCTCTCTTAAATTTCTCATCCAGGACACTCTTCTACGGCCTGGATTTCTGCGTCCTTGGATTTTTCCTTGCCTTATATTTTGTGGGCGGCAGACTTTGTTAAACCGGCACTGTATTTGTTTGTTTATTCCTCATATAAAGCCATAAGAAAATCTAACTTAACTGGCCTATTTGGAATTGCCATAAAAACAATCTTCAGCAATTCCTCAGGTATTTCACAAGTAGTGTGCACATCATTAAAAAGCTTAGCGAAAGTACTGATGTGGTCCTTTTGTATCATTTTTAAGAGTTCAGCTAGCATGTTGTCTGGACCAGTTTGCTTTATTGGTTTTGGCTAATTTTATAGCAAGAAGAATTTATGATTTTAAAATTTCAGGTTCGTCTTTTTTTAGATGACTATACGTGACTATGCAGTTATATAGTTACTCCATGTTTCAAGTATTTCTCGTTAAAGCAACATTTTACTTAAGCATTATCTGTTGAAATGTCTTATTTTAAATCAAAGAATCTTCAGGTATTATATGTCCCATTCTAAACAACACACCCCGTATAGAATGTTTAATAAAAATAACAAAGTTAATGACAACTTCTGGTTTTATCGGAAGTGATTTAGTTCATCATATCGTTTTGGGGAAGTGCAAATCTTCAAATTTCAATTATCATTTCATCATAATTTCATCTACATGTAACACCCTATATGTAACTATTTTGTACTACATAATTTTAACTCTAATAACAATTTCTAAATATATCTGAACTCATAATCATAAAATACTAAAAATGTTTGCAATTTTGATCACATTAATTGTCTATGTCTCTTGTGAATCCTTAATTGATTTACAGGTTGCCTATATTTCAAAAACACACATTTATTTTTATTTAGTAAGTTTAGTTAATTATATTGATATAAATTTTGTTTGTTTCAGAACTGTCCTCGAAATGTGTGTATCTCCATAATTCCAAAAATATGTGAAAATTATTTAAAAAATTGTAAAGATATAAAAAACGATTCAAAAATTCTAACGGTTAATTGCAACGTTTCCTTAACTACGAAAATGAATACATGTTACAATGTAGTTAAAAAGTTACGATACAATATATTCCACAACGGCACTAAAGGAGCTGGTCACATCGAGTTACTAGCTGTCCTTAATAACATCACTTACGAATTTGGTGGCGAATCGTCGGAATTTGACCAAGAATTTTCAGTTAGATTTTTTTGGACAAATAGTACTGGTGATATCAAAGATCTCAGTGGAAATCCTGGATATTTAATAAAGAAACCTATATTTACCGGTAAACTTTTGACTATAAAAAACGGTAGTGATACGTCGTTGAAAATACAAAGGACTGTAAAAGATGCAAAAGAAAGTTTTCTAACAATTCCTGATAATATCGATGGCAGCTGTGTTTTCAACGGAACCCACTTTACTAAAATAGAATTTGGCTACAACTTAATAAGTAAATGCAAATATAGATTGACTTCTTTTAGTACTAGAAAAGGTGCTAATGGTACTGAAATGTGCAGAGCATTACAGCGATCTGTTTTGGAAATGTGGAACTTTAACAATACGATGATAGGCTTCTTTGGAAACGCAGATGAGAACAATCTGGATGACTGGATTAAAGCTCTGTACAAAAAAGATTTAAACTCTTTATTAAACAATACTTTAGGCTACTTTTCGTCGAAAATGGGACACTTATCTTGTTTGAATTTGGTCAGTGATCTAGAGATCGATATATTTCATTCTAGAATCGATATTGATAATTTGCTAAACCAAGAGAAAATTTTAGCTGCGACATTCTCTTTTGGTGGCTTTACAAACCAAACGTTACTTTTTAACAAAAACACTAGTTCCGTGGATTATGTGACGAGCCTAAAAACTACGGTAACTTTTTATGATTTGACTACCCAAAAGAGAAAGAAGGCAGTCGATCCACCGAGTTTAGAAATTAAACTACCTTATGATTTTTTCTATCCGTTTGTAAGAATCAATAATGATTGTTCTAATATAAGATTGAATGTTTTAATATTTATATTAACATTAGTTATAGTAATTCATTTTAAATAAAGTTATTTTGTCATGCTGAACAGTATTTTTATGTATTTGTCCATTACACGTAATTAGTAGCTACCAAACGAAGTTAAAATTTTTGGAACTTCTTCTTCTTCTAGTTTTATAACCGTTATCGGTCAAATAGACGTAGCAATACTGGTACAGAAGAACCTGGCAAAATGTGTATATGAATACCTTCCCATAAATGACCGCCTAATTAAATTTACTCTGGATGGACAGCCAACAAAGATCCATGTACTACAAGTGTATATGCCAACATGCGATGGAACAGATGAAGAAGTGGAAGATATGTACTAGTTATTAAACAGTAACATCGCTAATTCGTCGGCTTACAAGCGAAACACACTAAGTCAATTTTTTTCACTTTTGAGTTATTTGCAGCATTTTATTGTATTTTTTTACTCTTTAGACTGGTTAAACTCACTAAGTCATACAATAACAAAAACGGTTATTTTTATAATTATCATGTTTCTCATTAAGTCTCAAAAACTATATATGATTCAGGCAAAACACACTAAGTGACTTAATGTATTTCACTTGACTACGAATGAACCTACCGACTGACTTACGCAGAGCAACTTGTCCAATCTTGTAAAAAATTAATTATTTGTTTGGTTATATTGCATAGGTTTTGTCAGTTTTATTCCAGTATTTTGCGTGATTTTGAACAGTTTTGAATTTTGTGTGTATTTATTAATTATTTCTGTAAGAAAAATAAAATTTTCTGTCGAACTACCTACAGCGATAAACAAAGACGTGAGCCTATATTCTGATAATTTTTGTCAAGATATTCAGTCAGGTCCTCCTCAAATAAGTGACCAGGATTCTGATGAATGTATGGAGGATAGCGACTATATTCCTTCAGGTAATGAAAGTGATAATTTAGATACCAGCGAAGGAAACTCTACAGCAGACGAGGAAAAAACAAATTCAAATGAAATAAGTCAAGTAGGACCTAAAAGAAGCCGATGGAATACCCCAAGACCATCTGTGTGGTCAACATCCCAAGACCATCAACTTTTCTGAAGAGAACCGGAAGTTGCTATGTCAAACTTATGCGATGTTGTCATTTCAAAGACAGAAAGATTTTATATTATTGAATGTGCTTTCTAATAAGGTAAAGAGTCGCAGGCCTAGAAAAGGAGAAAATAGCAAAATGCGATCCAACGCAAAATCCTATTTTTTCACAAATATGGGAAAGAAAAGTCAAGTGTGTCAGAAATTTTTTTGTAAAACATTTTCTATTTTCTAATAGGCCTATAATTAATATGCCTTTATAGAGCAAAATGTAAGCGGTGAATATAGTGGAATAGACAGAAGGGGCCGTAGGATTCCTGGCAATAAAACTTCAGTGGAAGCAACAATAAGAGCAAAAAAACACATTGAAAGCTTTCCCGATGTAGAAAGTCACTACACTAGAAAGTCTTCGAAAAGACTTTATTTAGATTGCAATCTTAATATTAAAAAAATGCACGACCTGTTCGTTAAAAAGTGTAAAGACGACAATTTGCCAAGCTTAAGTTAGATGACCTATAGGCGAATCTTTTGCAAGGAATTTAATATATCATTTTTTAAACCTAAAAAAGACCAATGTTTGACCTGTAAGGAATACACAAAAGCATCGCAACAAGAAAAAGAAGCGATGGAGCTTAATTATAGGAGTCATTTAGACAGAAAAGAGGCTGCAATGAAAGAAAAAAATTCAGACAAAGAAGTATCGAAAAAGAATAAAAAATTTAAATCAATTACATGTGATATGCAAAGCGTTTTATAAATTCCATCATCGCAAGTAAGTCTCTTGTATTATTTTAGAAAGCTGAACCTCTATAATTTTACAATTTAGGAATCTACTCCACCAAATGAGGCATTCTGTTATTTTTGGACCGAAGTCAATGGTAAGCGTGGAAGATGTGAAATTGGTACTTGCCTAGGAATGTACATTAATTCATTATCTGATATATAACATCTAACGATTTTTTCAGATACGTGTGGAGGACAGAACAAAAATATTCAAGTATCTGCTCTGCTTTTACATATTGTTAAAAACCATCCGAGTCTTCGGATAATTGAGCAAAAGTTCATGGAAACTGGACACTCCTATATGGAAGTAGATTCCATGCATAGCGCTATTGAAGTGCCAATAAAAATGTGGAGATTTTTAGTGTTCACTAATATAAAAATGTCTTTAAAATGGCCAGAATGGGCAACAATGGGAATAAACAATCTTCCTATAATACTCGTGAAGTTAATTATAACGAATTCTTAGATTTGAAAAAACTTGCACAATACGCTATTGTTAATAAGAAAGAGGATCAAAAAGGGCAAACGGTCAACTGGTTAAAGGTAAAGTGTTTTAAGTATGAGAAAGAGTTTCCTTACATTCTACAGTACAAGTATAATTTTCACAACGAATATGAAAATATTAACGTTAGTTTTGTACGTCGTGCTTCTAACAGAACAGTCAAAGAGCATAATAATAATGAAAATTTGGTTATTCCTCAATTATATTCTAAACAGCTTCCAAATTCGGATGCAAAGAAAAAAGATTTGATAAAGCTCTGTGAAAAAATATAGTTCCGTAAGCGCTCCATACCTGATTCAAAAATCTACCAAGTTACTCTTCTGTTCGAGACCAAACAATGGAGTCAGCTGAAAAGGACTCTGACGAAGAAGACTTTGAAAATTAGAAGCATTTTTTTGTTGTACACGTTTTGTTTTGTTATACCTGTTTTTTTAATAATGTTCTTGTTTTGTGAAAATATACATGAAAAAAGTAAAAACTTATATAAGCAAAAATATTTGTATTATTTACAATGTAAACGAAGCCTGCAATAATCGTATGAGTCAGTAAATAAAAAAAAATACACGTAAGTCATACTTTCATAGCAAAACTAAACAAGTAAAACACACTAATTTAAATGCTACAGGTAAAAAACATTAATCAATATAAGGTTGAATGTTCGAATAAATGAACTTTGATGGTACACAAGGCAAATATCGAACACAGTATTTAATTAAATCTTGCCCAAGTACTTTCGATCACAAGATCATCCTCAGGGGCATTTCGTCAATTGTGGCCTATCCAGCAATAATGGAATGTCATATATGTAAACTGGGACATAACAAATACACTAAAGACAAACAAACACTTTAAAATTTAAATTGGAGAAGCTACATTTTTATATTATAGAAGCCGGAGACAGAATGGCTCCCAGCCTGGCGGAGGCGGAAATATTATACAATATACAATATTTCCGCCTCCGCCAGGCTGGGAGCCATTCTGTCTCCGGCTTCTATAATATAAAAATGTAGCTTCTCCAATTTAAATTTTAAAGTGTTTGTTTGTCTTTAGTGTATTTGTTATGTCCCAGTTTACATATATGACATTCCATTATTGCTGGATAGGCCACAATTGACGAAATGCCCCTGAGGATGATCTTGTGATCGAAAGTACTTGGGCAAGATTTAATTAAATACTGTGTTCGATATTTGCCTTGTGTACCATCAAAGTTTAAAAAACATTAAGTCAACGTATTCAAATCGAAAATTAAACAAAAATTAATAATTTGGTAATATATAATTTACTTCTCCTCGTCAGTAATCATTATTAATACTTTATGAAAACTTTCGTATAATTACAAAACAACAAATAAAAGTTTTAAATGTGAAAATTGATCAAACTGTTTTTAAAAAAAATTAAAACACGATTATCTCAAAACTATATTTTTTGACTTAGTGTGTTTCGCTTGTAAGCCGACGAATATACCCAAAAAATGACCAGTCATAATATTGGGTGACTGGAACACAAAAATAGGCAAAACAACAACAGAAGATCTGCTGAAAGGAACAGTTTGTGGGTTTGGAATAGGTGAACGAAATAAGAGAGGAGAAAGGCTATTACAATTTGTCATCGACACTGAACTTAGTATCATAAACACGATGTTTCCATGTTTAAGCATCATCCGCAAAGACTATCAACTTGGACTTCACCAGAGGAAGATATAAAAATCAAATAGATTATATTCTTGTCAGCAAATGATGGAAAAGTTCAGTAGTTAACGTAAAGACAAAACCAACGGCTGATTACGAAACAGACCATAAACTGTAACAATCCGAATTCCGTATCAAATTTCGTATAAAAACCGAAACAAATAAAACAATTAAATATATACCTAAAGAGCCTGGAAAATACAAAGAAACACTAAGACGTAGTAACACACCAAACATTACTGACGATTCCAATCAAACATGGAAACATACAAAGACGTGGATTATAGACGCAATAAATATTACAAGCCCCAAAGAAACCCCAATGAAAGAAAAACACTGGATGACTGATGAGACACTGAACCTAGTAGAACAACGAAGAAAAATTAGAAACAATGCTTCAAATCCAACAGAAACTTAAAACAAGATAGCAAATGTAAACAGACGCATAAAATCATCAAGTATAAGAGACAAAAATAATCAAATTAAAGAAATATGCAAACAACTACAAGTACACGTTAACAGTCAAGAATCTAGAGAACTGTTTGCCAAAGTACAATACTTAAATAAATAGTTCAAACCACAAAAGCAGATAATTAAAGATAACTTGGGAAGGATCATCACCAATCCAGAGGGCATAGCAGAGACATGGAAACAATGTTGTGAAATGTTGTTCATAATGGCCATGAAGACGTGAATCCAGAAAAAATAAATGACGAAAAGGAACAACATATTTTAAAAACGGAAATAGAAACCGCATTAAAAAAATTAAAAACTGGAAAATCTCAAGGAGAAGACGGAATCACGGCGGAAGCACTTAAAAAAATGGGAGACATAGGAATTGAAGTAATGTCCAAACTGTATAATGAAATCTGGAACACAGAACAATGGCCAGATGATTGGTGTAAGCTCACTTTCATACCCATTTATAAGAAAGGCTCACCAACTGACTGTAATAACTACCACACTATAGCCCTGATCTCCCACGCAAGTAAAGTTCTGATAACTATAATTAACAAGAGAA